GAGGCAGCTCCAGTGACAATCCTAGGTGACAGGTGGGGAACCAAGGCAGAGAGGGCTGCACACAGCTGGTGAGTGTGCGAGAGGACCCGGCGGTCGCCACGTCACCCGTCGGCAGGCACCATGCTGCTTCACCCTCCAAAGTAGAATCCGGCGCCCCCAACAGCGCTCCTTGGGGCACAGCCCCCGCAGGCGGCACAAAACGTGTGGCCCCTGTGCCCTGGGCTGCTCGGCCCTCCTGTGGGCACAAGCGTGGATTTCCTGGGCAGGGGCGCCCTCTGGAGGCAATGAGGTCACAGTCCCCGCCGGCCTCGGAGGGTCTTTGGAGCAAAGAGAGGCGAGTCCAGCCCTTACCTGAACCTCGCTCACCACTCAGGGGTCGGGGTCCAGCTGCCCCACTTTGCAAAGGGGAAACCCAGGCCCTGAACACCGAGCAGTAACTCTGTCCAGAGCCACAGAACACGCCCCTGGAAGGACGACAGGAAGCCAGACGGGTGTCCAGCGGCCGGCCTGGGGGGCGAAGTGAGACTCCAGCATTTATTGAGAGCCCACTGTATGCTCTACAACTATGGTCTCCCATTACCCCTACCAAGGAAAAGATTATTCAAGGCCCTTGTTAAAGACAGTAAGGAAGACTGTTATCAACAGGGCCCTACAATGGGGTCTTGCAGTGGGAGAGTGATGGGGCCTAACCCTGAACACAACAAGGAAAAGGGAATTTACCGCCAAGGAGCAGGTGGGGGCAGTGGATAGAAAATGACCAAAGAGGAAACACCGGGCGACCGGGTTTCTGGCTAAACCAACCTCACAGGATTCTCGCTGAAGGTGGGCCAGGTGGTCAGACACCAGGTGAGGGGTGAGGAACCGATCAGATAGCCAGGGGGGGGGAATTCCAGCTAAACTGACCTAGCAGGATTCTTGCTAAAATGGGACAGTGCAGAGAGGGACACAGAAGCCCGAAAGTCAGGGCCTAGGTGAGAAGAGGGTTCAGAGGACCCCGACTGGAATCTGGTCAAGGAGAGGGTCCCTGTCGCACCCACAGCAATCCTGGGAGTATCCCATCCTATGTTTGAGACCCAAGGCTCCGAGGCCAGGCTCCCAGAGGACCGCCTCTCAGCTGCCCCTGTGTCCCCGGGGTGCAGGGGAGTGTGGCACACGACAAAAGGGACTCAGTTCCCCTCCGCAATGGCAGCTAAGTTAGAGGGTATTTGGTCAGCAGTCAACTCCCCCTTCACAGCGGTGCCAGATGCTCCCACCCCCCAGTCTAAACGTTCCCATAAACAACAGACCCCACCCGGCACTTACTATTGGCCACCGCCCAGCCTGTCAACTCCTGTGAGCCTCATAGCGACAATGAGTCTCAGAGTTAGGAATGAATATGACCCCATTTTACGGACGGGGAAATCGAGGCACAGGGCAGTTGAGCTCCTTGTCCTTGGTCACGCAGCTAAGTGGTGGCAAAGCCAGCAATCCACCCCAGCAGCCTGCCTGGAGCTCTCTGCCGTATCGCACCCTCCTTACTCTGGTGGGTCTCTAGCCTAATTTGGTTTCAAATGAAAGTTTGCATCCCTACCGTAGTGGAAAGCCAGTTTCACTTGCCTAAATAAAAAGTCACTGTAAAGAGATACTGTGTTGCCAGGTGTGAGGCTCACACTGCCCCGGGGTTTCTTCATGTCACCCGGGTGCTGCACCCCCAGACTCTCTTTCCCAACAGCAGGCATGGCTGCTCTCTGGGGACCCCGATACCTCAGAGCAGCCAGGAACTTGGCAGCAGCGCCCCCGTCTTGGGTCAGGCAAGGCGCAGCTCCCAGCGCTGGGCGGGCGGCAGCACGTACCGGTCATTTTGCAAGTCCCTGCTGCCAGCCTGGCGCCTGACCTGCCTGATGGTCGTGTGACCCCAGAAGATCCACCTCTCCTCCCTGGGGTCCTGTTCTCACTGGAAATGGAAATGAGTTACACTCCACCCCCCAGGTCTGTTGTAGGACTCAGCAGATACAAACTGCACAAAGCAGGGGGGACACGGCTGAGAAGGGGTCACACGGTGGCCATGCTGGCAGAGCCTGTGAGCTCCCCGTCCCCCTGCAGCCTCCTGTGGGCAGATGGAAGATGGACCCAGCCTGCAGAGCGGCGGTACATCACTGCAGGCTGGGTGGTCAAGAGGCAGAGGACACACAGCAAGATACTCCGGGACAGGACATCCCAGATGTACACACGGCAACGTGAATCGACCCAAACACCTGACACAAATGAGACCAGCAAGAAACACAGTGAGCTCTAGAGCCAAGTGGACACACACGCGCGGAGACACGCCACATACCTCACCAGGGTGCACGCGCGCCTGCACCGTGGGCCCTGGGTAAGGCCATGTCTCCGGGTACCTGTGTCCACGTCTGTCAGATCAGAGCCCTGCGGCAGGGCTGCTGTCTGTGCCAGGTCCACAGGCGGTGGCTCTGGGACCTGAGTAACAGGTGGGCTGCGCACCTAGAACCAAAGGACGGCCACCCTGGGACGGGCCTTCGAGACCAGCTCTGCCAGGACCTGCAAGTCACAAGCCTGGAAAGGGCCCCGACACCCTCCCCCGACACACACACACACACAAATAAGTCACAACTGCCCTGTCAAGACGCCTGCTTGCACACTTTTCACCCTCGTAACGCAGGTATTATGTGGTCTGTAGCCTGAGTCAGGAAGTGTGTGCAAAGGACCCAAGTGACTTGCAGAACCAAGACTCAAGCCCAGGCAGGTCTGAGGCTCCCCCTTCCAACTGGCCCCGCTGCTGCCCACAATCTGGCAAAACAAACAAAGCCCCATGTCTCCTCCCTCCTCAACAGAGGCTGGGCCAGCATCCATCCCAGAGTCAGGGCAGAAGGACCCTCAGACAGGGGCTTGTGCGGGAAGACTTCAGGCCGGGGAGGGGAAGGCGCTTGCCCAAGGAGAGGCAGCGGGGGGCACCCCGAGAGAAGACTTGGAGGCAGGAGGTTCTGCCGCCACCAGGGCCTGGCTGGGTGGAGCACAGCAGACGCCTGCAGAACGCAGCAGGACTCGGGGAGCTCGCTGAGCCCTAGCGTCAACCCTGCCGCCGCCTTCTCCATGCCTGCTTCCTTCTCCCAGCGAGCCTCCCCAAGCCTGCAGGCTAACCCCACTGATCACATCACCCTATTTTATTTCCTCAATAGCACTGCCCGCAGTGATTTATTTTCTAGTTTCTCGTCCTCCTGAAAGTCGCACAGCACTTTGCCTCCTTGCTGTATCCCCAGTGTCTAGAACTGTGCCTGAGACAGAGTAAAGATATTTGTGAAATGCATCATTTGCAGCCTCGACATGCTGCCTCTTCGGCCCCGCAGAGAGCGAGCTCCTGGGCTGGGGCAGGAAGCAGTCGCTGCACCTCAGAGAGCAGTGCCGGTTGGTGTAAGGTAGGGGCCTCCCAGCCACCTGGGGAGTCGGGAAGGTCACCTGGGAGGCAAAGCTGGACGGGGTCTCCGCCGCTTTCCTCCACGGAGCTGGGGGGAGGCACGGCCAACTGCTCAGAGATCTCCCTTGAAATCCCCGTTCAGCCCTCAATCCCGTCCAGTCCTGCTGTCCGGGACTCCTTCTCTTGACCAGCGCCTTCTCTCCTGGATCTGCGACCTTTCCCTCCCCATGACCTCCTTCCTTCCCTCCAGCATTGAAAGGGGCTCCTGTCTTTCTCATCTTAAAACATACCTTTCTGGATTTCACCTCCTGAAGGAAAGGCAAAAAGGGGGCTGGAGTCTGGGCTCCTCCCTCCCCACCATCCCCACCTGCAACTCCTCCAGGCCCTCTGACCACTCCTCTTAACTGTGTTCCATTCGGCCTGCTCTTCCCCACGGCCAATACCGTGGCCTTCTGTTCACTTCCGTTTCCCTGCAGTTGGTCCTGGGCCTGTCACAGTGACCATGGAACCAGCGACGGCAGGGACGATGGGAATGTAAACAGCTGGGTGGGGGGCACCACGAGGGCTCGGCCATGGGAGGGAGAGGACGCCCTTCCACTGGCTTAGGTCAGGCCCAGGCTGCAGGCTCCATCTTCCCTCCGTGTCACCTCCAGGCAGGTGACAGGTGGGTCCCCAGGTCCGGGTCCCGGTCCCCGGCCACTGGGCTCCGGTCTGGCCCCGCCGTCGGGGAAGCAGCCGGCGTAGTGAGGCCGCGGGCCGGGCGCGGGGGCCTTTCCTGTCTGGGCCGCGGCCCCAACCGCTGGCAGCGCTTCCGGCGGGGCTGCGGCCGGGCTGCACTATCAGCTCGGCGCCAGACGCCCGGCCAGGATACTTGTGGTGAAACTGTGAGGGCGCACTTGGCCCTCTGGGGTTTCTCCATGTCAGCCTCCAAGACAAATGGAGAGGGAGACTGACACACGGCCCTCTTCTTCAGCCACCTTTTCCTCCCTCTGACCCCCCGCGGCCGTGGGCAGCTCGAGGCCCATCCGTGGAGGAGGCAGGCTGGACGATGGGGCTGGACAGCGGGGCTGGAAAACGAGGTGGACAGCGGGGTCGGATGATGGGCTGGACGGCGGGGTCGGGTGATGGGCTGGACGGTGGGGTCGGGTGATGGGCTGGATAGCAGGCTGGCCTGGGTGCCTAGACCGCACGTGGCCCAGGAGCGCCCACTCCCCACTGTGGGCCCAGGGAGGAGGCTGGTCCTCGACCAGTGAACGTGTCTGTGTCTGGGGCACCTCGCCGTGCACCACGGGCCAGGCCAGTCCAGTCCACCCTCGCCCCGGGCTTAGGAGGGGGAACCAGGCCCCGCTGGCCACTAGGGAATCCAGGACCAGGTAGGAACAGGGGGGCCCGCGCCCCAGAGCTGGGGATGCGCGGAGCTGGGGCAGCGGGCGCGCAGGCCTCGCCCGGGTCCCGCTGGGGTGATGGACGAGGCCCGGTCTCCTGCCGGCCCAGCGCAAGTCTGGTCCAGGCCGGGCAGCGACTCCCGGCTCCCGCCCCTAGGTGGCACCACCGCTAGAGCCCTCGGCTTCACCAGGGGTGCGGCCTTGCGCATGCGCGGCTCCCCTAGCCGCGTCTTCCCGGCGGGCCCTCCGCGCCTGCGCACCCGGCGCAGCCCGTGTAGTGTCGGCGGGTTTCCGGGAGTCGCGAGGGCGCCAGGCAGCTTGCTCCACGGCCTGCGCGCGGCCCGCCGGCCCAGCAGAGGGCGCCCGCCAGCACGACCCTCGGTTTCTAACCCGGGTTCTTCCCTTCCCTGCTCCGAAGTGAGGGATTTACCCGAACTAGGCGGGCGGGGAGGCTGGAGGAGAAGCTGCCTAACAGCCGGCCGAGGCGGCCCCCGCCCCAGGGGAGCCCGCCCTGCAGCCCGGGGCCGCGGCCGAGCGCAGCCCCGCCTGCGGCCTCGAGAGCGGAACCCGAGGACCCGGCGCGGCCAGAAGCTCTTCGGAGGAGCCAGCATTAAGGCCGAGGGAGCGGCCGCGAGGTACCGTCACCTGTTCCCTCCCGAGGGCTAACCGAACACCGCCCGTCGGTCTCCCAGGCTCCCCGAGACCACAGTGCCGGTGGGACCGGGAGTCGTGCAGCCCCGCTCTGGAGCGAGCGTCTTCCGTACCCTCCCCGCCCCCCGCCTCAAGCCCTTACACTGTCCTCCATCATTTCCTCTTCAGCCTCCCACTCCCACCGGACACTCCGCGACGGCAGTTAACACACCTGAACCCGTCCATCCTCAACCTGTCAGTTGCACCGGGAAGCCTCCCCGCGGTCCCGCGCCCGTCCCCACCGCCCAGCCACGCAGTTCTGCAGTCACCACCTCAACGACCCGCTCCGAAACCCCACAGCCTCCTCTTGGTAGACCCGAGACACACACTGCCCGAGTCCACGCGGTCCTGCGCTCCCTTGCCGCACCCGCGCAGCGTCGTGCTCCAGGCGGCCGCGGCACCCTGGGGCCCTAATACTCAGTCCTGGGTCTCCACCACCCCACACCCTTCCCCGGCAGTGGACCCGCAGCCTCCAGCTCGCCGTTTCCGCAGCCGTCTCCACGCCGAATATCCAGCTCCCACGGACGGTCCCACCGGGCGGCTCAGGCACACCCCGCCCCTCACCAGGTCTGAAACAGAATTCATCATCGTCTTCCTCAAAACTGGCCTCGTGCAGACTTCCCCACATTAGGTGAATGGCACAGCCATCCTGCCACCCTCCCCACCAAGATGGAAGGCACCAACTGGGTATCACACGCTGATTTGAACATCTAGCTGATAACACGAGGGTGAGCGTATCAGGCGAGACCTCTGCCTCATCAGGGCTGGTCCAGTGATCACACGCGTTCCGACAGCGCTGGAAGATGTGGAGGACGGGTACAGGGTACCACAAGAGAGCACGACAGGATGGGTCCCAGAGGTCGTGGACGGCTTCCCGGGGGCAGTACCTAAGCTGTTTCCTGAAGAACGAGCAGGACTTCACTAGGTGAGGCTAAGGCGTCCACCCTAGGCGGGGAGGAGAGTGGAGTGGAGGGAGTTGATCACTCAGCAGCCGATTCCCCCACATAAGTCTCTCCAGTCCATCCGTGTCCCTACATCACCACCCTGGCCCACGCCTTCATCTTCTGCCTGGGTTACAGCAGGCTGGCAGGCCTTCTCCCACATCTACTTATAGCCTTCAGTTCGTTCTCAGCCAGAATCAAAGCTAAGCGTGTCTCTCATACACGGCTCGGTCTTCCCTTGACTTTAGGGTCAAGCCAAAAGCCTGGGCCGACCTGTAAAGCCCTGTCTTGTCTGGGCTCTTCCAGCTCTGCAGCCCTGTGTCATACACTTTGTACCCCACTCTCTGGATTCCCTTCAGGTCCTCAAGCCCCAGGGCCTTGGCACATGCTATGCCACTTTCTCAGGGAAACTTTCCCCATCCAGTGCTCTCCTGTATTTACCATCAGAGGACCCTGTCCCTCTTCCTTACAGGGTTCTATCAGTTTGTGACTATGAGTCTGTGTTGATCACGTGACTGTTCTCCACAAGAGCCATCTCTGCCCTGCTCATTGTTTCCTTAGTGCCCAGAAGAGCCCATGACACAAGCACTGTGACACCCCACCACTCTGTTCTGGGACCTTACCTAGGCCACTTTACCTTTGTGGCGTCAGTGTTCTAACATGTAAAATGTAACCAGTACTTGCCATGCAGACTTGCTCTCAGGAGCGAATCCATTATTTAATGGATAAAAAGCACTTGATAAAAGTACTATCCCCAAAGTTAAGAAATAAGTTATGAGAGGCGTTCAACAGAACAGAACAGATGTTCACCGTTCCAGCTTTATTTTCATTTGGTCACACATGCTTTAAAAAACATACACACACGCCTGTAAAATACCCAAACATCAGGAATTAGAAGGGCATAAAACAAGGGGCTTACAGGTGGAAAGAATATCCTAGGCTTCAGAACAAACAAAACCAACTCAAAAATTTCTTTGTTCAAAACACAAAAATATTTTGTTTTTAAAAACATTTAAGTTTTTTTGTTTTTTTTTTTAAAAGGAACATTTTAGGGACAAAAACTTCTTGTATTGCCTGAGGCAGAGCCTGGCTTCTTTCTTCCTTGAAGGCCTTTTGCAAAATACAGAAGCCAGCATTTGCTCGCCTTGATGTTCACCACTCCCACCCTGCCCTCTGGAAGTGCAGGGCTACAGGGCATCCAGGATGTGGTCGATCTTGGTGACCAGCTCCTGTCGCTTTCCCGAGATGAGCTTCTCGTTCTCGATGTACGTGTCTTTCTTGAGCTTGCCAGCCACCAGCCGCTCGGCCTCCACTGCCGACTTCAGTACCAGCTCCTTGACCTGCGCATCCAGTTTCTGCATTTCGCTCACCTGGCCGAGGCAAGAGCAGGGCAGGGCTCGAGTGTCCTCCGCGGCCCCGCCCCACAGACACCCCCCCCACACCCCCGCCGCCCAGGGCAGAAGGGCTGCTGTGGAGGGAGAGGCCAGCTTCACCCCCTGTAAGGCCTGTTCCCACAAGCTCTGGCCCCTGTGAGCCAGTCCCTTCACCACCCCCGGCCCCAGATGCGGAGAGACTGTAAGGACCAAGTGTGGAAACACCGACACCCCCCGGCACAGTGCCGGACACATGCAGGCACTCAGTGAACGTTCGTTCGTTCTCTTCCCTCCCACGGCCAAACTTGGCCAGGGATTTGGTCGGGCAGAGGGCCAACGGCCGCGGGCGGGCGACTCCTGTTAGCACCAACTGGGTGTCAGGCTGAGGCCTTTTATAGCCACAGTGATTCAACACTCAACAGACACTTGTGAGCCATGAAGCCAGGCACGACGCTACACTGGAAAACAGCAGTGACGACAGATGAGGCATCGCACCCTCAGGAGCTGACACACGATAAATACTTAAGCACACGGATACGTGGTTTCACAGAGGGGTGCGGAGACGGAGCAGGAGTGGGTGGGGGCGTGTGGAGGGGGCACCCCGGGGGCTTTCAGCCTCATTTACAGGCACCAAGAACTCATGCAGCACGTCCTAGGCAGGGTTCCCAGCGCTTCACATGCACTAACTCATTTCACATGACCGCTGTGAGCTCAGTAAGGATTAACAGCTCCCCCATTTTAGAGATGAGGAAACTGAGGCACACAAGTTAGGTAACCTGCTCAGGTTCAGAAAGTCTGAATCAGAGCCTGGAGTCAAACCCACAATTCTAAGTCTGGGTGCTTCTCCCTGCAGCCCGAGCAATCTGGAGCCTCGTCCAGTCTGGCCTCCAGGAGAGAAAGCAGCTGCTCTCAACACCAGTGCTGTGGAGGCCAGCAGCACTTCCTCCAAATCCAGCTCACAACCAAGAGCCCAAATCTCGTTCCACCCCAAGGGTCAGAACCACGCGACGCGGCCATAACTGGGCGCGCCCACCCCACAGGCCAGCGGCGAGCAAGGCCACGCTGGGCGAGGCAGGAAGGAGCCGGGTGACACGGCGACGGCAGGCACTTACTCTGTCGCACAGGTCGGAGCCCTCTGTCTTCAGCCTGGACTGCAGCAGCGCCACCTCGGAGGCCAAGGCCTTGTGCTCTGTTTCCAGGCTCTTCTTGCCACTGTTGAGGGTGGACACGTCCCGGGACTGTTTGTACCTATTGACTGTCTCATCAAAGTGACGGTAGAGACCTAGTCTCTTGTTGACCAGGGTCAAGACCTGCTCTGTGATGCAGGCCACCTTCATCCTGGCTTCTGCAGCCGGATCCTGGGGGAGAGACACCGTGTGTGATGACATCCAGCCCTGAGCCCACTGCGACCTTCTCCTCCCAAGGAGCACCCACCACTAGCACACAAACGAGAAAAGCCACCATCTTGGAAAGTCAGAGAATCACACTCTTGCCGACACTGACCCTGGAACGGTTCAGCAATGGGCAGGACGGGGGACAGGAAGATGAAGCAGACGTTCACATCCAAGTCCAGCAGGACAGACACACTGGTATAAAAGGGATACTAATGCCAGGGTGCACCGTGAGAGGGGTATGAGGTGCTGAGGGAGGAGAAATTCCATCTCAGGCCGGGGAAGACTTCCAGGACGTGTTTCCAGGACCTAAAGGATGAAGCCCAAGCTCCTTAGCCAGCCAAGGCCCTTCAGACGCAGCCCCATGTACTCCCCAGAATCCCTAACCAGTGGGCTACTGCAGAAGCCCTAACCGGGCATGCTCAAAGGCTGACTCTGGCCTGCAGAAGGTCGATTTGGCCCACAATTAGTTTTTTTTCCCTCAGTAAATTATCAAAGCTTTAAAATAGAGATGTATACACAGGAAATCAGTTGAATAAACTATGACTTATCCATACAAGAGAGTCCTCTGCAGCTATAAAAAAATAACAAGGAAGAAAGCTCTCTATGAACTGATATGAGTGATTTTCAGGATACGTTAGTTAAGTGAAAAAAGCAGTGAAAAATAGATATGCTGTTGCTACCTTTTGTGTACAAAAGAAGAAAATAAGAATTAAATATCTGCCTATTTTTGCAAAATAAACAAATCAGAAAGGCTACCTAGGGGACTGATGAAATTGTTCCCTACAAGGCAGGGTGGGACAGGGTGGAGGAAACCACACCATTTTCAAGTTGTCAATTTAGAACTTTGTTAGTGTTCTACGGTATCACAACCAACATTAAATATTACCAATGATGGAGGAAGAAACCAGAATAAAATTCAAGCATCAATGAACCTAATACCTTTCAAATGAGTAACCAGGGAAAGAAGAACAGAGCAACTACCTTGGGATCACAGACTCTGACACTATGGTCTCAATCTAAAGACAAAAAGAGGGCTTCCCTAGTGGCACAGTGGTTGAGAATCCGCCTGCCAATGCAGGGGACATGGGTTCGATCCCCGATACTGGAAGATCCCGCATGCCACGGAGCAACTAAGCCCGTGTACCACAACTACTGAGCCCACACTCTAGAGCCTGCGAGCCACAACGACTGATCCCGTGTGCCACAACTACTGAAGCCCAGGAGCCTCGAGCCCGTGCTCCACAACAAGAGAAACCACTGCAACGAGAAGCCCACGCACCGCAACGAAGAGTAGCCCCCGCTCGCCACAACTAGAGAAAGCCTGGACGTGGCAACGAAGACCCAATGCAGCCAAAAATAAATTAAATAAATAAATTTATTTTAAAAAGTAAAGACAAAAAGAACTGCCAAGAAACCTGGCGCTCTACTGGCAGGTTTGGTGTTTGGAGTGGTATGAGTGCAGCAACTGTGGAACTGTTTTGTTTTGTTTATAGACTTCAGCAAATAAACAAACACACTGATGTTGGGATCCAGGCAAAGAACCCTGCGGTGTTAGACTGGAATAACTCATATTTCAAATGCCACATGTATTTATCTCCCGGCTCTGTCTGCTGAAAGGGCTGAGGAGCAGAGATGCTCCAAGAGCAGTGATCACAACCAGCTCCCAGATCATGGTCTCCAGGTACCATTCTGCACTGAAAGGAACCGGAGCTCCTCGGAGAAAGTACAAGATATGCCGGAAACGTACTGCTGCACGCTACAATAAGGAAGCGCACAAAAATACGATGTAGACGGAAAGACAGTCAAACCTGGGACACTTGAGCATCAAAAGGAACGGCACAGTGGACAGTAATCCAGTAAAATAACACATGAATCCAAACGAATAATGAACCAACCAACCAACAAGAAAAGCTTTTCCTTATGGTAGAAAACCACCTAGTAAGGTAAAAGGCACCATAGTTTTTCAGCCACCACAACTATCAGATTCAGATAAGAATTAGTAATAAATACTGTAACTAATGGGTGAATATATATGATATTTATATAGCCTCAAACAGATTATGTATTAATTGCAAAGAAAAACAGTAACGTTACAGTGAATAAACCAAGAAAGGCACCAACTCAGCCAAGGAGTCAGCATCAGCACGCCCGGACCAAGCGACAGCAGGCGCCTCCCGACGGGATGCACTGCGGACACAGCACCACTTCATAATGTTCTCGCCCAAAATGCATAATCTGCATTTTCAAGGAGAAACATAAGAAACCTAACGTACACACAAGGCCGAGGAATGTCCCAGATTAAAGCAGACTAAGGAAATATGACAACTAAATGCAATGCATCATCAACTGAATTCTGAAGTATGAAAAAGAATGGCTATAGAAGTTACCCTTGGGGCGATCAGCAAAATTTGAGCCTGGACTGGGTGCTGGTTGTTATTAGAGCAACGTCACATTCCGGACTTCGATCATCGTGCTCTGGCTCTATGAAACGGGGCCCTTGGGGTCAGGCTGTGCACACGCCTAAGCATTCAAGGGAGGCGGGCAACTTAAACGGCTCAGGAAGAGTACATACGACAGAGAGGCCAAATGTTAACCACTCCGTCCAGGAGAAGAGTGCACAAGAGTTCGTTTTACTATTCTTGTAAAATGTCTAAATGCAGAAATATTTTAAAACTCGGGATTTTTTAAATTAATATAGCTTAGGAAATGGGGATATGTCACAGTAAAACCTAGACTCAGCCCTTCTGCGTGACAAGGTGAGCAGCTGCCCTGGTGGCACCCCTACCCCAGGGCAGCCTCGCTGGTCTACGGAACCAGCCAGACCAACGTCCTTGCTCATTCGTACCAACTGCCACCCACAGGCCCCAGCAAAAGCCTGCCATGCTGTCCCACAAGCTGCTCCCTGAGGCAAAGGCCCCGCCCCACCTCTTCTGCCAGTCACTTCCCCGCGAGCCTTTCTGGGCACACGCTCTGCCCACCGCCTCTCCCCACGGAACTGGCCGCCAGCAGCAACCTGTCTCCTTCAACAGTGCATGTCCGTGACCACAGCAACAAAAGGAGGGGTCTCTAGGGTAACGGTCAGCTGAGGCCACGAGCAGGCAGAGGTGTATGTCGCGCGGCCGGGCGCTGGGAAAGCGAGTCAAGCACGCACTGCAGACGGCCGAGTTGGGTACCTTTGTGATGGAGAAGTCCAGCCTGACGTAGACGATGACGGTGAAGAACAGGACGTAGAAGGCAGCCACCA